AGGGTAAGCTATTTATATTACCGGTCTTCAGTGGGTCTAACCAGAATGAAGAGAAAGACACAGTACAGGACTGCGAACTGATTACCACTGATTTCAAGAAGAAAAACTGCCTTTGGACAAATGTAATTTTGTGATGAGTAAAGTCGAGAAAGAGAAAGAAATTGAATCTACAATAAAGTCATTGATTTGCTGAGTTAAATAATTTTGGAATTGGTCTACTACTCTGCCACTTCCTATTACGTACCCTAAAATAGTTCTTTCTAAGCATTTGAGTCAGGCTACATCAAACCCAGTTTATGCAGACAAATGCAGTATAACTAATATGGAAGGAAACTAAATCATATGAAACTTTCTTCTTAACAAAAAGCTGAAATATCATGTGTTAATACGTGTTAACACTCTCATACTCAGGAGTGTTGATAATTCTGTCTTGATCACAGGCATAAGTTTAATTAAGACCCATCTGCTACAATGTCTTAATAGTCACTAAAAAAAAGACATCAGTGAACATGGATGGATCTTTCTAAGGGATATTTTTAAAAGAAAAAAAGAAGTTATATATACTTTGAACACTTTGTATTTTACATTAAAATTTAAAAAAAAAAAAAAAGGAAAGAAGAATCTTAGAGTTCCTCCTAAGGCTTGCATTTGGTTAACAGTTTAATCAAATACAGTTTACTAAAAAATTGAGGTAACTCACATTACGTTAATTTGAAAATTTTCCTGCTTGTACTTTATATGTGTGTGGTGTGTACGCACACATGCATACATAGTATTTTATATCTGCAGAAACAACTAATAACATAATTCATACAAAAGAAAGACATTTCTACTTTATAAAAGTAATTCACAGGCCAGGCATGGTGGCTCAGATCTGTAATCCCAGCACTTTGGGAGGCCAAAGTGAGACGATTGTTTGCGGTCAGGAGGTTAAGACCAGCCTAGGCAACATAGTGAGACCTTATCTCTATAAAAACAGAAAAATTTTTTAAACTAATTCACCAGAGGAATACACTATTGAATCATAAGCCAGGGGATTTTTTTCTTGTTTGATAGCTATGTAAAAATATATTTGGTTTATAAAATATAAGTCTCATTACTTATTTATGGTAATACACAAATACTGTCAGGCAAATATCAAAAGACTAATGGTTACTGTTGCCAAGTCACTGTAGCTAAGCATCAATTTAAAAAGATAAACCAAGAAAAACATTTGAATTTGTGCAGTCATAGACCAAGGATACAGAAGGGAAAAACAAAAAGGGATATATTCTGAAGCCACATTTGAATTCTTTATTTTTTTTCAGATGTTTCTTTCGTTTGTTTGTTTTTGAGATGGAGTCACTCTGTCACCCAGGCTGGAGTGCAGTGGCATGATCTTGGCTCACTGCAGCCTCCACCTCCTTGGGTTCAAGCGATTCTCCTGCCTCAACCTCCCGAGTAGCTGCAACTGCAGGCATGCACTACCATGCCTGGCTAATTGTTGTATTTTTACTAGAGATAGGGTTTCGCCATGTTGGCCAGGCTGGTCTTGAACTGCTGACCTCAGGTGATTTACCTGCCTCGGCTCCCAAAGTGCTGAGATTATAGGCATGAGCCATGGCGCCTGGCCCAGACTTGAATTCTTAATGTCTGACTCTAGCAGAATGAACCAAAACTTCCGTTTAGCAAAACAGGTTTGTAACTTCATATTTCTCACACATAACAGCTTGGAGCCATGATCGAATCTAAAAATCTATTACAGCATGAAATGGAAATGTGTACTGTTAAAGGGCAGAGATGAATACATAAGTTGTTATAAGGGAGATAAATGAGGAATGAAAATGAAATGCAGTAGGATAAACTTGTTGGCAAATGGTTAAACAATCTGCAAACTGCTCAGTGTTAAACCATTACTCTTGGACTCAAACCTCAGCATCCTACCAGAGTATGGAATCGTTAGCTCAGTCACACCCCCAGATATTGTTTAATAAATTAAACTCAAAATTGTTATTCTTATTGGACATATACTTCTTAGAGAGCTCTTTAAAACAGAAACAGCAGAGCAACAGGTATTCCATTATTACTTTTGTGCTAAAGGCAGGGGTTGAAACCTCTAGTTAGTGAAGGACTACATTTTAAGAGAGAGAAGGAAATTCAGGAAGTCAATTCTAATCCAAACTCTATCCCAAGAGAGGAGATTCTAAATAAATTCATTTAGCAAAGATTTAGAGAGTTTTCTATGTTCAAGACTCAGTGTTGACTGCTGAGAATGACACAAACATACCCAAAATCTGATACCTTCCTTTGAGGATTCTATAGGATGGTTGCCCTGAGGAATTACAGGCTGTGAACGAGAATATTGTTCCATAACAAAGATAAAAAACAAAATCTAAAAACCAAGAGGAGCCTTTGAGCAAGATGAAAGGCTTCACAGAATGTTTAGGTGACATTTGCGCTGGGCCTAGAACAAGGGGTTGAATTTGGACACGTGGCAATGGAAAGGAAGGACATTCCAGGCAGCAAGAATAGAGTAACACCCCACACAAATAGACACTTCCAACTAATGTTCCCTTAAACAGTGTGCTTTTGCTGTGTAGACGTTCTTGGGGTTCTTCAAACAGGCTCTCTCCTCAGGCTTTTGCGTTTGATGCTCCTTCTACCTGGGATGCTCTTCCCCCAGATCTCTGCAAGGCTGCCTTTCTTACCCCCTTCAAGTCTTTGCTCAAATGCTACCTTCTCAGTGAGAATTTACCTGACTACCCTATTTTAAACTGTCATCCTTTCACTCTCTAAGACTCTTCCCTGCCTTATTTTTTTTCCCCCAGTACTTAGTACTAGCTGGCATGCTATAATGTAGCCTACTCCTTAATAGCTCTGTCTATGTTTCTCCTACAAGAGAGAAAGTTATCTGTTCCTTTCCAGATTTTAAAATAGTGCACTGCACATGGTAGGCATGAAATAAATGTCTGTTGACAAACCCATGGAATCAATGAATAAAAAAATATCTGCCCTCAAATAGGTTATGGTCTAGCGGAGGAAGCAAATATGTAAATAAATAATCTTAAATGATTCCTGAAAGACAAAAATACACACTCGGCAAAACCCAACTTATAAAAACCTAATACACAGAAACAACTCCTCTTACCCCACTTATACATGGCTAGTGACCACCAGGATTCTACTTTTTATATTTTCTAGCTACCTGTCCCCAGTAGCACCATCACTCATACAATGGCCAAAAATGCCACCACTGCTGCCAGAACTGCCACTTCTCACATTAACTGTCACTGCTACCTAGTGAGTGCTGGTAAAGAATATTTCTGTTCCCACTTTTGGACAAGGGAAAGATGGATTCCTGAGTTTCTAAATTAAATGCATTTTTCAGTAGATAGTTAAATTCTACACTACAGGAGTAGTATACACTGATTATATAGATTAGACAGGAAACTCACTATTTTGAATATTGCTTAAGTTTAGATTTGGAAAAAATAATTTTCTGAATGGTGTTACTATTGCAACATACTTTTCTTACACTGCAAATGGATGACACTGGCAAAATGGTTATGACAAAGATTCCTTCAATAAAGGCCATTACTATATTTTAACAAATAGGTAAAGTTAACAGCATTTTTTTCACTTGGAAGGATCAGCTAGAATTTAACCTGGATTAAAGAATGATGTAGAATTTTTAAACAGACCATTATATTCAAGTTACACTAAATTAAAACCACACAGGAGTAGCTGAAAATATTCTTTATTGCTAGCAAAGGCAAAACAACTTCAAAAAAATGAAGAATAAGCTCAAGATTTCTCACTTCAACTAACACCTCCACAGACTGCATTATCATTTTAGGCAAACTGACATTTTCACATTCACTTTTTAATGGCAAGATTGATTTCCATCTGGGACTTATCTGCATAAAAGTGTTAGCCTTGGCGTAATTTCAAAATTGAACTGAAAGCTCATTTATGGCCATAAGCAAAGTGCCACAATACCATAGTTATGCCTCACATTAATTCTACCACTGGGAGCCCAATTTTAAGTGTTTCAGCTAGTGAATTTTGCCCTCAGATAAGCACGTAAGTCTATAAAACCCTTCCTCGATCATCTATAAATCACTTATCTCTACTACCTTAATGCCTACAGCATTTGTCCATAATAAACAGTATTCATACTTTTAAAAGAAAAGTCCTACAAATACTACTATTCTTCATAAATAGAAAAAAACTATAAATGAGGACAAATTCCCATACGTGGAAAAATTCCAAATCAGAAGCTGAAATCACAACTTCTAGGTATAGAACCACAGTTCCAATCGGTCAACTGCACACGTCGCCGGTTAGAGAGTAAATAATCTGCAGCCAGCTGGTTAAAAAGTCTGATAAAAATATTAGGTCGTCACTTATCTTCCTTTTTAATAAGGAGACACCTGAAAGTCACACTGGGCAGTCGGGCAGTTATCAAACGCAGGAAGCCAAAGTTCCTGCGCGATGAGAGGATTACAGTGAAAAACAGTAGCCCATCTGTCCACAAAACAGAAAGAAGTCCACCTGGAAAGGCTGGAGTCGGGGGAGGGGGCGAGAAGAACGAGCTCCTCACCGTCTTCCTCCTCCCGGGCTAACCGCAGCCGCTGGCGGCAGGAAGGCAGCCGCGCGGGGTGGGCTAGTGGGGCCAGGGCGCAGGGCTCGGAGTGCAGGTGGGTTGCGGCTGCCCGGCCGGCGAGGCCCTGGCACCGGGAAGTCTCCAGGGCCTCGCCCGCGCAGCCAGGAAAGCCCGCAGCCCACCGACGGGCGGAGGAACCGCCCGGGCAGAGCCACGTCGGAGGCTGACCGCGCGGCAGCGAGGTGGGCACCCAGTCCACACCCACCGGGAGGCTGACAGCCGGCAAGGGCCAGGCGGCCTGGGCGCTAGAAGGGCCGCAGCGCGCCGGAGGGGGTCGCTCTCAGGAAGCCGCGCTGGGCGCTGCCCGTCGCCAACGACTCCCCCTCGACCTGATCGGCGGCAGCTGGATACTCACGTAGGGCTGGTAGAACTTGGAGAGCCGCGGTTTCCCGTGGTTATTGAAAATTAGGATCGCCTTGATCATGGCTGTACCGGGCCGACCGGGTGGGCACTGGGGGCCAGGGCGGGGGCGGGCGCGCGAGCCTCGCCTAGTAGTCTCGCCTGCAATCCTTCCCCACCCGCCCCCTCCCGCACGCGCGCGTGCGCGCGCTCTCGAGCAACTGGGCGGGGCCCGAGGGGCGGGGCCTGGGAGGGGCGGGCACTGAGGAAAGCGGAAACATTTCTGGGTCCGAGCCAGTTGCCTAAGGGGCGTGTGCTCACTCGACCGAGCACCAGCACGTTGCCCACGCTCCTCTCCCGAGGTCTGTTGTTGCGAAGAAACACGCATTGCGTTATTAACGATGAGAGTCTGCCACAGCTTGGATTTGAAGGAATAGCCGGCAATTCCAGCTTTCACTGTGGAATTGGGTCCCCCTACTCTGGCGCCTCCTTTGGGTCGCTCCCTGTAGAAAAGCACGCCCAGTGCATGCGCTCAGTCGCTACGTCCGCTGTCTTGTCTCTCCGAGCAAGATGGCGGAGGAGCCGCAGTCTGTGTTTCAGCTTCCTCCCTCAAGTGCTGCTGGAGGCGAGGGTCTTACGGAGGTCTCCCCAGAAATAACCACTCCGGAGCCTCCTTCTTCCGCTGCAGTTTCCCCGGGAATAGAGGAACCTGCTGGCGACACCAAGAAAAAAAGTAACTCAGAAGTTTATTTCCGGGCAGAGAGGCGGGAGGTTCAGATTGCATCCGACTAGGGGTGGTGACCAGTAAAGAAGCAAAATTTAGAGGAGTACTAGTCCTGGCCGTACACTTTGACCAGTCTCGTCAGAAGGAAAGAAGTGTACTTTCGATTTTTAAGACCTTTGAGTTGAGTGTTAAAATACCGTCTCTATCTATACGTGTAGCGCGGGATACTTGGATGCTACGCCTCTTTTTACGGTGTATTCAGAGTTGGCCAGACTGTGAAGGAGGGAGGGAACTGAGTGGGGGTCTCGGTAGTTCCAGGTACTTAACACAGGAGCTAATTATTTGAGTAATGTTTTAAGGTGGTAGGGTTGGTCATTGGCAAAGGCTGGATTCGAATTCACGCCTTCCGACTTACTCTCATATACCGTTTTCCCCCTCCCAATTTGTTGTAAATTCACGCCAAAAACCCAAAACGCAAATCTTAGGCAAAATGAAGACTGCTAAGGAAAAACTAAAGGCATAAATGTTCCCTTTTTAAGAAACACATTTTGGAACCTTTGTGAGTTATTTCATTGCTTGAACCAGCTATCCTCAACCTTTTATTGCTTCAGAATTAGTTCGCCTTTGTAAAATACAGAGATTGCTAAGGTGACGTGTTCTAAACGTGTTCTCAACTCTGTAGAGTTGAGTTGCCTATAAGAAAAGCAGCATGTAAACATCTTCGATGCAGAGAGGCTGATTTTGTCCTAGACTAGTTTTCCCAGTTCACAATCTTAAAATGACTGTGGTCTCTGGCCGGGCGCAGTAGCTCACGCCTGTAATCACATCACTGGGAGGCCGGGCGGGGAGGTGGGGGGGAGGAGGTGGAGCACTGGAGGTCAGGAGTTCGAGACCAGCCTGACCAACATGGTGAAACTGCCTCTAGTAAAAATACAAAAATTAGCTGGACGTGATGGCGCGCGCCAGTAAACCCAGCCAGTAAACCCAGCTACTGCGGAGGCGGAGGCAGGAGAATCGCTTGAATGCGGGAGGCGGAGGTTTCTATGAGCCGAGGTCGCGCCATTGCACTCCTGCCTGGACAGTAAGAGCGAAACTCCGTCGCAAAAAAAAAAAAAAAAAAAAAAGACAATGGTGTCATTGCCTTTTCATCGAACTTCAATTTCTGCTGCTGAGGAGGAGAATTATCTCCCAAGACTGCCCCCCATTCCCCTTTAAATCATACTGCCATTTCCACGTGATACACTATGATTGTGTGGATAGCCGTTAGAATCATTATTCAAAAGAATTCCGCGGGTTTTACAGGTTTTTGTTGCGTTTTTTCTTCCAGTTTGCTATAGGCAAGAGCAGACTTTCCGAGATTCATTTTAAGGTCTAACAGTCTTAGTCAAAAGCTTGTTACTTGACCCTGATGATAGCTGTGTAAAACAGAAGCTAAAATAACAGTGATTTACGATGTAAATATTGCTCGAGGGCATAGTTTCTTTGGTCTGGACAATGTTTTTTTTGCAAATTGAACTGTCATTTAAGGATCAGATTTTTATTTTCTGGCTCTTGTTAGCATTTGAATTTGCCTCTCCAATATAAAACTTAGTTTCTCACTATTGAATTCCTACCTTGAGGGTAGTTATCATTTGTTGAGGATATTCTGATGAAAGCAGCTTAACTGTTTTGTATCCTCAGCCTTTGTGTTAATCTACAGAATAAAGATGGTTGAAACAGACCAAGGTTGTGGCACTGGCAGTACCTTAGGTTACCTGGGGAGTAAGTGTTCCCCTAGTTGATTCTAATGTGTATCCGGAGTTCAGAACTAAAGCAAATCACCTTTAAAGAGAGGGCAGCTATAATTATTTTCCTTATCCAGTTCTCGCTGTCTCATACTTCTTCTTTAGGTAGCATAACTCATAATATTTTCTGCTTCACTTTCTGGAAATGTTTAATTGCATTAATTGATTTATTGATAGTCCCAGGGGATTGAGGGAGCAGTGAAGGGCGGTATGAAGGATAAGCTAATCAAAATCCTCGTTATCCCCAAATTCCTTCCTATTCACGAGATAACTGGGACCTAGGATGGCTAAGTAGTTCTTTAGCAGGAAAATAAAGTGTGTGCATCGTATGTTCTAGCTGCCTTCATTCCAGGGGTAAACTTGAATAAGTTGACCTCTGATTCCATTCGGCCCCAACAATACCAATAGAATGGAGCAAGAAGGGTGTAATAGAATAGAGTTAACTTTAGGGGGCAGCAATACACTATTTTGCTTTCAATGTGTGTAGCCTTTGATTGTAGATGGCTTTTTTGTCTTTTTTTTTTTTTGGACGCAGAATCTTGCTCTGTCGCCAGGCTGGAGACAGCCTCACAATCTCTGCTCACTGCAACCTCTGCCTCCCAGGTTCAAGCGATTTTCCCGTCTCAGCCTCCTGAGTAGCTGGGATTACAGGCATGCACCACCATGCCTGGCTAATTTTTTATTTAGTAGAGAGGGGGTTTCACGGTGCTGGTTAGGCCGGTCTTGAACTCCTGACATCAGGTGATCCACCCACCTCTGCCTCCCAGAGTGCTGGGATTACAGAAGTGAGCCACTGCGCCCTGCCAGATTTTTTTTTTTTTAAGCAAAATAACTTTACTCAAGAGACAGATTCATAGGCTTTGATTTTGCATATCTGTATTTTGCATCATTGAAACCTTAAGATTTCCCTTTTGCCACTTCTTTTTGTCCTTTTGTTCTATTTTACTGTTAAAACTTATTGCTTTCCTTTATTAAAAAGTTTACTGTAGAAAATTTGGTAGTTACAAAGAGCATAAGTAAAACAAAGTAATCCTTGCCTATAATGTCACTACTGAGAAATAACGTTCTGGTGCATATTCTGCAATATTTATGTGAATGTGTTTATGATGGTTTTAATGGAATTGAGATCATATTATACATGTTTTGTGTTTAGAACATTTTTCTAACTTTCTCTGCCATTAAATATACTTTTATAATGTGTTTTTTTAAAGGCTGTTTAATCTTAGTGTTTGTTAAGTATGAGTTACGTATGCTGGATACTGTTGTAAACATGTGTTAACTCCTGGCAACGATGCAGTGGAGTAGGTGCTAGTATCCTCATTTTACAAATGAAGAAAATGTGGCATAGAGAGATTAAATTATCCACATATATACCCAGCAAGTGGCAAAGCCAGGATTTGAACCCCAGGCAGTTTAAAGTGTGTGCTGTTTACTACATTCTATCATTGAGTATAGTATCTTTTAATCAGTCATCTCCAAATATCCTTGCTAGATACTTAGGTTTACAGTGTTTCATATAAAAGTAAATGCTTAAATGGAGGTGAGATCTTTTTAAGTGAATTTTTACACATCTCCTATTTTCTTAGACTAAATTCCTAGAAGTACTGTTGAACCAAAGTATGCCTTCTTTGGGATCTGTATTAGCATATTGCATGCCATATTGTATACCCATAAAGTGTATACCATTTCATATTATCAATAGTAGTATCATCTACACTGTTAATTATTCTAATTTTTACTAGTTTGGTAGGTGAAAAGGGACATGACATTATTTTACTTTGCTTTTTTGAACTTTTATTTGTTGATTATTTGTATTTTTTCTCTTTGGAATGCCTATTAAGATAAAATGCACTTTAAAAATCAGTCCTGTTATGAAAACTTTGTAGTTTCAAGAAAAAGAAAGATGAAAAAGAATCTTAACATTTTTACATCTCTGAGGTATCTTTTGTATCATAAATACCTAAGATGGATGTAGATTAAATATTTCTGACTTCTAAGTCTTTTATATTTCATTCTCCTTAGATATTCCAAAGTAATTGTCAGTAAATTTTTTTCTTCTTTTACAGTTGACATTTTGCTGAAAGCTGTGGGAGATACTCCTATTATGAAAACAAAGAAGTGGGCAGTAGAGCGAACACGAACCATCCAAGGACTCATTGACTTCATCAAAAAGTTTCTTAAACTTGTGGCCTCAGAACAGTTGGTATGAAACCAGTGGTGATGTTTTCCTACAAAAATTTGCGATAGTTCCTAGGCAACAATGAATAACGGTTGTTTATAGAAATGCATATGGAGCCACACATGTTGCTTTGGTTATCCCCTTTTATCTCTCCCTCTCTCTTTTTTTTTTTTTTTTTTTGAGACAAGTTCTCACTCTGTTGCCCAAGCTGGGAATGCAGTGGCTCGCTGCAATCTCCTCCTCCTGGTTCAAGTGATTCTCCTGCTTCAGCCACCCGAGCAGCTGAGATTACAGGAGTGCACCACTATGCCTGGCTAATTTTTATGTTTTTAGTAGAAACTGGATTTCGTCATGTTGCCCAGGCTAGTCTCGAGCTCCTGAGCTCAAGGTATCTGCCCACCTCAGAAGTGCTGGGATTACATGAGTATGCTACCATGCCATACCTTATCGCTTGTTAGTGAAATTTATGTACTTTATTGAAGGATTTTCTGGAGAATTCTGAAATGAAATGTTTTAGGTTTTTTTTTTTTTACACTGTCAACGAGTTTGTGTGGTTTTCTTGTTTTTTCTTTTTTGCCTCCTGTATTGCTTTCCTCAGAAAGTCACTGAATACTCGTGCAGAAAAATCTGTCATAGAACATTACATTATCTGTACATGACTACAGAAGTTTTGGGTTTTTCCAATTTGTTTTGATAGCAATTACATTTTTCCTATTTTTCTTGACGTAAGCAATGTATCTTTGCCGTATACTGTGAAAGAACTAAGAGATATATACTTATTCATGATACAGTACACATTAAGCACTTCACGGTGGCAGTTGTAAAAGTTAATACTTTAAATGCCACTGCATTTTAATTTGACATTTGACTACAGAAATTTAAATGTCTACATGTATTCAGCATTTTAAGTGTTTTATATATTCATATTTTTATATGTATCAGACACCTTTATCTGCAAATAGATCACAATCTTGGATAGTATTAACTAGTATTAACTCAAGAGAATGAGTGGATAGGTAGCTGAAGAATCACTAAGTATTTTTTAAATAAAATCAGGAATTTTTTGTGTGGGGGCGCTGGGGGAAATATTTGGTTTGTAGATGGGGAAAACAAGTTAACTATCATTGAAGCAGAACATTTTGGAATTTCTTTTTGTCAATGAGGAGCACAAAACTGACTCTGATCTAAGAGTTTGGCTGTAAGTGCTCTCACAAAAGGGACTTCATATTAAAAAAGTAAATGCAAGATAGGTTTATAACTAGAAGTTATTTGAGACAAGAATGGCATAAAGCAAGGGATTTCTCCAAGGAAAGTTGTTTGGGAAAAGGAATTGGGAATAATTGAGTTTTACAGGTGAGTGTCTCCCTTGGTGATAAATCAGAGTGAGAAAAGCATCTGTTTTATAAGAGTGCCATGTAGAATTTAATTAAAGGGGGGGCTATCAGAGATGAGCAAGAAGTTTTAGTGTCATCCAAGTGCATATAGTTTCCATACTCCCAAACAGAGGACGTTTTCTGGAGTTGAGACCGAAATGGAAAAGTCAGGGGAATGAGGACCTACACGTAAGAGAAATGAGCAGAGGCTATGTCTCTACTAAGGACGCAACATGAGGAATTGGTAAAATAAGAGTGATGAGTGATTTAATGCATTAGTTTAGAAATACGTGAAGATAAAAGATGATACTGTGTTCCGTGTTAATATTAAGAATTTTGAAATTTTGTATTGCCTATATTCATTCAATAATCTGAAAGGACTTGATTGATACCAGTACATAGTAGGTTAAACCATATAAAATTGCCATCATTCAACCATTTTAACCTATGAAAATTTTATATGGGTAAAATTAAAGCCTCTGTAGTGAATATGATTATGCTTTCCCATTTAAGCAATGGTCTTATTATTTTCTGTATCTTACAAATTAGGAAACAGGATGAGACATACCATTTGCACTTACAGCCAGGATTCAAACCCAGATGTGTCTCAGTAGAGCCTATATACTTATTCACCACACTGTGTTGCCTAAGAGAGATGCAAGCGGTATTGATTGTTCATGGTTGGTGATCAAAATAGTATCTGTCAACCAACTATTCTGATAACTGGCTTAAAAAAAAAATACTATGTTAAATTCAGGACATTTTAGTCCCAAATTCGGATATTAAAGCAAATAGTGTTTTCCGAAAAGCAAATTATTAGAAGGCACTTTGACACTGTGACTTGAAGTACTAGAAATTTTTAGTAAAAACAGACTAAACTACAACATTGAGCAGTGAATCCTTCAAAGAGCTAGGTTATAAGGTTTTAATTATGGTACTTTTTTCCTGCTTCATTTACCTGAAAATGACTTTATAAAAAATTTATATATGGCATATGTTTACCCAAAGAAAATGCACAAACTATCTTGAATATTAAATATATTGATTGATTTTTGTCTTTGTGTGAAATTTTCTTAGGAGAAATTCTTTATGGGTAAGTGGGGAAATTTTTATAATGTAATTTCTTGAATAACCAGCCCTTCAAAAGCCATTTATAAAAAAATATTTAAAAGTTTCTTACTTTTAAAAAGTTAGGAACCACTCTTCTGGGAACTTAAATTGTGTTATTTTTGTTCCTCTGGAGGAAAAATGAGATCTTCATCTCTTTAAATTGTCTATTTTAGAAAAGTTAGGAATTCAGAGAAGATTCTTCTATTGTGAAAATGATACAAAATAGCTAGCTGATTGGAACCCAGAAAAATGCAGATTAATCAGGATACCAATAAACATCTCTGTTTTCCTCCCCTTTCTTGTAGTTTATTTATGTGAATCAATCCTTTGCTCCTTCCCCAGACCAAGAAGTTGGAACTCTCTATGAGGTAAAAATAAAAAAGAGAAATTACTGTGTTTTTTCCTTAATGGAGTATGCACATCTGTATAATATATATATTGTATAGTATTGTTAATTCACATTTTATTTCAAGTGGTGGCATGCCATTCTTCATCGTCTGGGATAGAAAAGATGACTTTCTTGTTCTATTACCTCTCTAATATCTTGATCATAGTAGGATCTTAATAAGTAATAATACAATGATTGAAGAACCAAGGAATAAATTATATTTCAAAGTCATCTTTGTGATTCTCAGTAAGGCTTTTTCTTTATCTACATTTGATTTCTTCTACATTGTTTTTATAATCTGTCATCCAAATCTGCTTACAAGAAATTGAAAAAACAGCATAACAGTGACCTTTTCAACATCTTACAGTTTCATGGCAATAGTCAATAGAGTACATATACTAGCACCAGTACTAGAAAACAGCTGAAATGACATACACTGAGATGTAGAGAAGGACAGGATTAAAGTATGTAAGCTCATTCATACCTAAGATGCTTAAAGGATAGATTTTATTAAATACTTAACGATTATTAATATGTGTCTGATATAACAGGCGTCCTTTGAAAGAGATAGCCTTTTACATATGTAATTTAATATACATGTGTGGATATTTATGATACATATAGCGTTTATTTTCTTAGTTTCATCTAAGAATAATAAAGATTGAGTTTGATTTATTGCCTTTTTTTCTTTTTGTAGTGTTTTGGCAGTGATGGTAAACTGGTTCTACATTACTGCAAATCCCAGGCATGGGGATGAACCACAAAGAAAATCAACTTACTACATGAGATGGATTTTCACAGAAGAGACAGCTCTGAAAAGTTTTGATGCTTGTGGCAAGAGACTTAACAGATGTCATCTATTCAGCATGTGTCTACTCTGTGCATAAGAAAACATCCATAGCGTGAATGGACTCACAAAAATGTGATTTGTATTAATATATAAATCATCATAAAAGATGGTCGTTATACCCATTGCTCCTACCCATTAGAATTATTGCTGGAGATCTGCCTCTAAGGTTGAAAAGGAGACAAAGGCTGTGTAAATGTCTTGATTACCAGTTCTCAAAATGACTGAAGTTGTTTTCATGGTAAAAGTTAATTTACTAAAGAGTTCCTTTTTTTTTTTTTTTTTTTTTTTTTAAATGTTTACATTTGTGTCTGTGGTGGTTACTTCTTCAACAGTCACATTGACCTGCTGGCTGAATACCTCAGATAGTCCAGTAGAGGGCAGCCCAGCAGGCAGAAAAGGTTAGGCACTTTGGTTTCACACCTTTGCTGGGGAATAACGGGAAATGGCTGTTTTTGCTAATTTTTAGCTAATATCTAGCCAGGAGAGCAAGCATGTTTGATAGATTGAAAGACTATAATTTTAGACAATATGCATAGTTCAATTTTTGGGGGGGATACAGAAACATAAATTCTGGACAAGTAAGTCATATACCTATTTTCAGCCCTATCATTTAAGGATTCTTGAGTCTCAGTGATGTAACTGTGGTGTTACTCTGTCATTTATAGTGTCAAAAGCACTTGATGAGCGAACTCAGTAACATCTTTTTGAATGTTTCAAAATGCATTTTCCAACTTGAAAGCTCACAATAATTGAAAGGTACCCTTAATGTGTATTTTATGCCGTGACTAAAAGTACCATTTTTACTGATGCTATTAGACTTATAATTTTTTGAAGTGGGATTTAACTTTTTTTTTTTTCCTTCTGTATTTGTAATGCCATTATTTTTAGAAAGCATTCCAGATCAGGCATGGTGGCTTACAGCTGTAATCCCAGCACTTTGGAAGGTCAAGCAAGGTGTGGGGATTCTGTGAGGCTATGAGTTTGACACCAGCCTGAGTAACAAGACAAGACCCCCATTTCTCCAAAAATAAAAATGAAAATCATTATTAGGCTGCAGAGGCAAGAGGATCCCCTGAGCCCAGGAGTTCAAGGGTATAGTGAGCTATGATTGTACCAATGCATCCCTGCTGGGCAACAGAATGAGACCCCATCTCAAAAGGGGGAAAAAAAGGCATTCTAATAAATTGAATGGAATGTGAATGGAATTTCGAAACAGAATCTCAAATGGTATGTAGTAGAATTCCAAGTATTTATATCATTTAAGTTCAGTTTGGAAAAGGTCTGTCCTCTAGTTTTGTCCAGTTTACTAAAGGAAATGAATATATTTGCATATTTAACAAATACCAGAAATAGGTTGAATTTGTTTATTATGTTTGCCACTGAGGTTTCAGATGATAGATCTCAAAAATTAAAAATGCTAGTTGAATTTGTAGCATCAATTTAATTACTCTTTTGACCTAAATAACTTAATAGTTTATTAAATATAAGGTTAGCTTAATATGTAGCTAGCCTTGTATTCTTTCCTAACAACTCTGAAGAATACATAGGACTTTGCTGTGTGTGTGTGTGTGTGTGTGTGTGTGTGTGTGTGTGAGAGAGAGAGAGAGAGAGAGAGAGAGAGAGACGGAGTTTCGCTTTTGTTGCCTAAGCTGGAGTGCAATGGTGCAGTCTCAGTTCATGGCAGCTTCTGCCTCTTGGGTTCAAGCACTTCTGCCTCCGCCTCCCCAGTAGCTGGGATTACAGTTTCCTGCCACCACGTTTGGCTGATGTTTTGTTATTTTCGATAGAAAAGGAGTTTCACCATGTTGGCCAGCCTGGACTGACCTCAGGTGATCCACCTGCCATGGCCTCCCAAAGTGCTGGGATTACAGGCATGAGCCGCCATGCCTGGTCTGAACATTTTACTTTTTCAAATCATATTTAATTATTTCTTGATCTTTACTCAAAGAATCATTCTGCGCTAAATTTGCAACATTAAACAATAATTAAGCCTGGATCTGATAAGTTATTGGGTGACTGGAACCTAAAACACAATTTATTTTTAAACTCTCAAGTCTAACTGAACTTGGAGGAAAAATTGAACATTCAGGTGATATTTTAAGTTTTCCTTGTTTTTGACTAAATAGATGTCAATATTGTCATGCTAACTGTGCATAGATGGTGTAATTTTGAAGTGGTGTGTGGAGGGAGGCCATTTGCCCATGGATACAGCACCAAGTCAGTTGTAGTAATGAAAAATGGCACCCAAGGTATATGATATTACAATTTTTATGCCAAACACTTCATAATAAATTCATCATATTTAAGGAGTAAAGTAAATTAATGTTTTATCTGAAATCAAAATGGGATTGGATAATTCCTAGAATCTGATTTCTGTTAAGTTTCAGTACTAAAGGGGCCTCAAATAGCTACTAGAAGTACAGTGTAGTCCTCAGATTATATGATATTGGTCAACCAATTGCGTCGTAACACAAAGTGGGAAAGCCTTAGGTGTTGAAGGAGTGTGAAAATAAAAACCTCATGCAGTTTCTTCATGAAAAGCCTTCATTTTTCAAGGATTATAATATGCCAAATAAACATTTGGTACTAAGGAAGCCAGCTACAGGCCACATAATTAAAAGTATTCAGAAAACAATTCAGCAAATACTACTCTTTGAATATAGTTCAAACTATATTTATACAGTTTCCCTAGAATACTATTTAACCCATACTGGATTATTCACTATTCTTTGAAGATGCCTTGTTTTCTCTGTTTCCTACTTCTGCTTGTGCAATTTACTTACACCTTCACTCTTTCAAATCCTAACTCTTCAAGGCCTGATTTAGACTTTGACTTTTTAAAGGCTATCTGAATCATTGTAGGAAAAGATACCCTTTCTCTCATACAAACACTTAGAGCAAACTACCACTATTACAACACTCACTGCATACTGCTTCAGAGCCACGTATCCAGTTAGTCTGGTTTTTATTTGGTACCCACACACAAATACTTAGTACATTTCCTTATACATAATATAATTAGTAATGTAACATTGAGTGAATGAAATTGTGATTAGCAAAATATGACAGCTAAAAACAAAGGAAATTTTGTATAGTTTAAATTTTTATATGGCAGAAGGTAATGGAAAATATTTGCAACATATGACAGGGTTTTTAATGTCTTAAATATATGAAGATTTCAATTGGTAAGAAAAGACCAACTGAAAAATAGGCAAAACATACCAAATTTCGATTCACAAAAAAACACAAATGGCCAATAAAACATGAAACATCTTGAACCCCACTGTTTACAAAAAATGCAAATAAAAATGCTGATTAACATTTATCAACAATAAAAATAATGTACATCTTGGTATTTGCAGAGTTGTGGGGAAATCCTGTCATATTTTGGTGAATAGAATATGAGTTGGTACCTCACTTTTAGGGGGCAATTTGGCAATGTCAAAAACCTTAGAAACTTAAGTATAAACTTCAGTTTGTATAACCTTTCATTCACATTGAATGCCTACTATTTACAATATTGGAATAACACAAAACTCATAAAAGACTAATAAAGTCCCTGTTCTTGAGTCATTTTCATGCTAACTCAAGGGGGTACGACAGATTTTCAGATTTGAATTTAAATCTTGAAGTTTTTTTTTTTTTTTTTTTTTGAGACGGAGTTTCGCCCTTGTTGCCCAGGCTGGAGTGCAATGGCGCGATCTCGGCTCACCGCAACCTCCGCCTCCTGGGTTCAGGCAATTCTCCTGCCTCAGCCTCCTGAGTAGCTGGGATTACAGGCACGTGCCACCATGCCCAGCTAATTTTTTGTATTTTTAGTAGAGACGGGGTTTCACCATGTTGACCCGGATGGTCTCGATCTCTCGACCTCATGATCCACCCACCTCGGCCTCCCAAAGTGCTGGGATTACAGGCTTGAGCCACCGCGCCCGGCCTGAAGTTTTTAAAAATTGAATTTCTAGAAAAAATGGAAAGTAAAAAGTTGATACCTGATATTAGTTTTACTGACGTTTTCTTATTTAATATTAATGAATGAAAAATAAAACATGTATGTGAGTAAAATCTTAAGAGGAATCCTTATAAATTAACTCCCATAGTTCCTTCTGTCATCATAGATGATACACATGAATCTTAGGTGATTAATGATAGACGCAAAGGATGTCCTATTGATTTTGAGATGACTCTATTTGTTTTGCAACTGTCTTTCTTCCAACATGGCGAACTATTTGTTCCCAGTTCTTGAATCTAGATCTATAAAACACTTTTCCTCCTTTCCTGTCCCAGTTTTCCCATCTTAAGAATGATAAATCCATCCCTCTAGTGGCTTAGAATCTTGATGACTCTCTTCCAACCCATTCCAATCTATCAGAAAATCCTGATAGCTTTACTACCCAAAGCAATCTACAGATTCAATGCAATTGCTATCAAAATACCAATGACATTCTTCCCTGAAATTGGAAAGAAAATTCTAAAATTTTTATGGAACCCCGAAAGACCCAGAGTAGCCAAAGCCATCCTGAGCAAAAATAGCAAAGCTGGAGGCATCACATTACTTGGCCTCAAATTATATACGACAAAGCTGTAGTAACCAAAACAGCATGATAGAAGCATAAAAACAAGACACAGACGAATGGAATAGAATAGAGAACCCAGAAGTAAGTTCCTGTATTTACTTGCAGTCAACAAAGGCACTAAGAACATGCATTCGGAAAAGGACAATCTCTTCTATAAAAGTTTGGGCTGGGCAAAGATTTCTTAAGAGTAAGACCTCAAAGACAACCAAAGTGATAATGAGCAAATGGGATCACATCAAGCTAAAAAGCTTCTGCATGGCAGAGGAAACAAAGTGAAGAAATATACTACAGAATGGGCGAAAATATTTGCCAACTACCCAACTGTCAAGGAAGTAAAAACTATATAAAGAGCTTAATAGCCCCTCCAAAATCCAATTAAAAATAGGCAAAAGATCTGAATAAATGTTTCTTACAAGAAGACATCAAAATGGGTAACAGGTATATGAACAAATGCTCAACACTAATCACCAGAGTAAAGTAAATCAAAGCATTTGAGATACCACACTCCAGTCTCAGTGACTTTTATAATAAGACAGGCAATAATGGATGTGGTGAGGATATGGAGAAACACTTATACAGTATTGGTGGGAATGTAAATTACTATAGCCACTAAGGAGAACAGTATGGAGGCTCCTCAAAAAAATGAATAGAACTGTATAATCCGCATTCTCTGCTGGTTATATACCCAAAGGTGAGATCAGTATATCAAGATACCTGCACTGCAATATTTATTGCAGCAGTATTCACAATAGCCAAGATGTGTAATCAACCTAAGTGTCCCTACATGGACATATGGATAAAGAAAATGTATCTGTACATCATGGCATCTTCAGCCTTTAAAAAGAATGAAATCCTGTCATTTGCAACATGGAACTGGATGATATTATGATGTTAAGTGAAACAACCCAGGCACAGAAAGACAATTAACACATATTCTCATATGTGGGAGCCTAAAAAAATTGCTTTTAGGATTGACTGGAAAGATGGCCAAATTGGAACAACTCCAGTCTGCAGCTCCCAGTGAGACCAACACAGAAGCTGGGTAATTTCTGCATTTCCAACTGAGGTACCCTGTTCATTTCATTGGGTCTGGTTAGGCAGTGGGTTAGGCAGTCCACAGAGAGCAAGCAGAAGCAGCGTGAGGCATTGCCTCACACTGGAAGTGCAAAGAGCAGGGGAGCCTCCCTTTCTTAGCCAGTGGAAGCTGTGAGGGACTGTGCTCTCCAGCCCAGATACTACACTTTTCCCAGGTTTTTTGCAATCTGCAGACCAAGAGATTCCCTCGTGTGCCTACACCACCAGGACCCTGGGTTTCAAGCACAAAACTGGGAGGCTGTTTGGGCAGATACTGAGCTAGCTGCAGGAGTTTTGTGTTTTGGTTTTGTTTTTCATACCCCGGTGGCACCCTGGAACCCTAGCAAGACAGAACTGTTCACTCCCCTGGAAA